CCCCAAAACCCCAAAACCCCAAAACCCCAGCAATAGTAATTGAAGTAAAATAATGAGTTTGAGATAATATATTAATTAATAAACACACTAGAGATGGAGACATTACTCAACATTACTAAATAGTTGTAGGAGTTAGCTGGTGACGAAAATAAATTAAGATTGCTGATGGAGGAATAAGAGAAATTAAAGCAAGAGGAATAAAAGGCAAAGCAAGATACCAATTTAAATAGCATTGAAGAAGAATCAGAAGAGTAAAAGCTGTAAAAAGACAAGAATCATAAGATTCTCAAGCAATAAGCGCAGGGATTTGATCCTCACTTTTACAGTCCATAGGTTCATGTAGGCAGAAGTCTCAACTTCCACGGAGATCTATTTGGTATCAATCCTCAGCCTGTAAAGCCATTCATCCTAGGTGTAAGAATTCCTCACTGTTAAGGTATAAAATACTAATGAACGATATGTATAGATATGTGGTGGTCCAAGCAGTGGTAAATCAACAGTGACTAACATGATAAAGAGCAAGCTTAAAAATCAACCACTTACTCTGAATTTGATGGATTTCTATCTCCCTTTAAGAGGAAATCTTAGAAGGAGAAATTCTACTGATTCCAAAGATAAGGAATTGGATGAAGCTCAAATTCAAAGAGAGATCAATGAAATAGAGCGACATTATGACTTCGACAATCCCTCAGCTATCGATTGGGATTTACTTATCGTAAGTATTTTGATATTCCTTCCTGAATTAATTTAATTGATTCGTTTAGAAAGGACTATAATTGCTGGTTGAAGGAAAACCATTCAATAAACCAAAGTATGATGAACACTTGAAGGTGAGAGAGGAAAAGACTGAGAGAGTTTACCCATCAAACTTAATTATCCTAGAAGGGCATTTAATATTTACAAACTAATAATTGATGGACATGCTTGACTTGAAAGTTTTCATTGAAACTGATGATGATGTTAGACTTTCTAGAAGAGTACTTAAAATGTCCAAAAAAGGTACTTTAACCAATCTTCAAGATTTGCTCTACAAATACGAAAAGCAAATCAAGCCAGCTTACGAGAAATGGATTGAACCATCCAAAAAATACGCTGACATCATTATTCCAAATTATGGTTTCAGATTGGAAAGCATGGACATTGATGATATTTTAGTTCCTTTCCCAGCTGTAGAGTTGATAATAAAATAAGTAGAAACATAATAGCATTCCAATGGATAAAGAAAAAGATAGAATATCTTCTGAGTTAAATAAAAGCTAGAGTGTCAAGATTGAAATATGATACATCTTTACACATGGAAATATTTCGAGCCCAATCATTAAGCTAATTAAATACTTTCTATTTATTCAATAATTGTTTAACCTCTTATCAAAACTTTTCCAAGAAAGCTATGGGGTTTTGGGGTTTTGGGGTTTTGGGGTTTTGGGG